CATCTAATTTTTGTTAACAACAAATAATTTTTTTTAGTTGTGCTAAGTGATAAAATAAAAAAGGGCTAAATTAAGCCAAATTCTCAAACATTTGATATATTAATTGAAACATAACAGTTTAACAAAACAAAAAAAAACGTTACTTGTTGTGAAAACCCGATCTCTTGAAATAAGTGTCCAAAAACCTTTTGCCTTATTATGAACAGTTTGTTTTATCATTTCAAAATCTAACTAATTGGGTCTCATTTGTTAATGATTTCATTGATCCTTTTGTATTTATATGCATGGAATGTTTCATGGTATATGATGAAGTATATTGAACGCAATAACCAATATCAAATATATTTAAAACATATCTCTGTATAAAAGTATCTGTTTATAAAGCCTATGATACTTTATATATGTATATATTCATATGTGAGGTTTCAGTTGCATTTTATCATACATTTTAAAACGAAAGGGGTGTATTGGTGAGTCATTTGTTTGAGAAATTGTATGCTGATTTGTGCATGTGCACCCTTAGCGAATGAGACCCATTGTCGAGAGTGTAAACTTGTCTGTGTATGTCTGCAGCAGGTGAATTGAAGGCTCACAAGCGACTAAAAATATTAAAGGAAAGGATCTTTCTGAACAGATTACAGTTTCCATGGCGGAATCTGATTTCTGCATGTGTGAACGCACCCGTGCACAGCTACACCGTTCCTTCTGCGACAGTGAGTGTGCACATGCGCACACATATTCGCGCACACAGCGTGGGTGAAGGTAACTAATCAAATCTTATTTCTTGCCTTTTCAGGATTTTCAGTGACATGGATAAGCCTCTCCCACATGACGCTCAGCAGAACCTGCTTCAGCTCTGCAGCATTTATACACAGGGTTACCATGGAAACTCTTCCCCTGGACCCTCAGACCCTTCTCAGCCTGTGTACACCCTACAAAACCTCCAGGAGAGACTCAAGAGGAACACCTCACCGAACAGAGACACACCTAACCACACCCCTGGATCATTACAGGCTCCGCCCACAGAGGAGCTCCAGGAAAAGCTAAGCACAGAAACCGTACAGGACAGAAACTCTGCATTACGAGGATCAGCATGGAGCGTGTGCACAGGTAACACTTTTTTAAATAACAATATTTATTAAAGGAATAGTTCACTTCAAGATGAAAATTCTGTCATCATTTCCTCACCCTGAAGTTGTTTTGTTGTGTAAGTTTTGTAATAATTTCACATTTAATATCCAAATTAATGTATAAACAACAAAGACAGCCTATATTTAAAATTAGTTTAATGGCTTTTTTAATGAAAGAAGGCTTCACCGATGCCAATATGAAATTGATATTTTTTCTTAATTTTAGTCATTAATTATAGCCATTCAGCATTACAGTATAATGTAAAGCTTTAATGTAAAAATAAATGCCGCATTTAGCTGTGCCCTTCAATAAATAGTGGCTAAATGTTTTCTATTGGCCCAGTCAGACCAGTTCAGATTTTTACTTGCCCTTTCAATATGCACCCAAAGTGATTGTTTTTGATCCATGTTGACTTGTAAACAGTGCTTTAAGATTTTCAGTTATGTCTTAACAGGTTAGGATATGCAGAAATCAATAATGCATCACTTCACACTTCACTGCATAAATTATAAATTAAATATCAATTAATCCTTATTAAAGCTACAAACGTTTAGTAAAGAGCAGTGTTTTTTTTTCTTTGAATATCCTGAATGATAGACAACAGCAGGTTTATGAGGCTGCTGTCACTTTAAGACCTGATGCATTTTCTCACAACCCTTATGTTCATTTAAGACTTCATTTAACTCATTTAAGACTGTGCTTGCGAGGTCACTCAACAAAACAGGCATTATGGCATAATTTTTAGATTTTTTTGTCCATTCAAGTGCTGTCTGAAATGGTTTTCTGCGTGCGTGAGTTGTGAGTCACAGACATGACTCTTTAATGTCTAATCACGCTTGAATGGTTAAAAGGCATTTGCTTGAATAAGAGCATGGTCAAATAATGTAACACTTGCCAAAGGATCATGGGGAAGAAAAAAATGTGATGTTAATTGCCAAGACTTGTTTCCCACTGAAGCTAAGCAGGGCTGAGCCTGGACGGGAGACCTCCTGTTTCAACCAGTGTCACAAAAATGTGTAAATGAAAACACTTCCCCTAGCTTTAAGATTAAAATGATAAAATGTAAAATAAAATGAAAAAAAAAAAGAAATGTCAATATTAATTAAACTATAATTTTAGATAAATAAGTAGTATTAAAATAACAATTCAGTTAGTTTATGGATTACCTTCTGTTTATGAAATGTGATGTTTGTGCTGTCTACAGTATATTATGAATAAATAAAATGCTTTGACACCTGTTACTTCAATAATACATTGATTTATAAATTCAGACCATTCTGCACACTTCTACAGTCATTGCACATGGTTTCCACAACTCCAAATACTAGAAATACGATTAACTAGCACAAGTTTTGTCAGCGGACAGTTCAAAACATCTGGTTAATCACTGAGGGCACCTTGTTTTTCTCCTCAACTATTTGTAGTTGGCAAATTAGACATAAATCCTGAGATGTTCTTGAATGATGTGGTTTGAGTTAAATATGACGGTTTTGTGTCCTATCAGATAAAGTCCCCTGGAAACAGTACCCGCTAGGAAAGGTTCCAGGACAACCAGAAGACCCCTCCTGTTTGATGGCGGAGTCTTATTCTACATTTACTGTGTTCGACCAGCAGGTGGAGTTAGATCGACTCCCTCAGCACCATGGCAACAGGAGGTGAGGAAGTGTATGCCTTGCACAGACAGGACTTTGAAAGCATTTAAATGCAACAGGGTTTCTACCAGTCTTAAAGGCTTAATTCACACAAACGAAGACCTAAAAATAAGTCTTAAATCAGAACAAAAACTTTAAGTCTTAATTTCATAAAGTCAAGGCATTAAGTTTGGTCTGGTTTGGTATGGCTGTATGCAAAAATGAAAATCTTCCTCAGTATTTTGGTCTTGTTTTGCATACATAATAATATCTAAACATTGTTAAATCAAGATACATTTACTTGAGATTTACAGAAAACTGAACAAAATGAAGTATTTATGTGTAGAACATGAAATATTGTCAATTTTTGAAAACTTCTCTTTGATTTTAGTTGATTTTTTTAAGCCCATTGGCAGATATTTGTTCTCATTGTAATCATGAACTCACTTCATTTTAATCAACTGTAGGGTACGAGACTTCATATTGTCATTGTTTATCTCTAATAAATTCATCTAGATTTTTTTTTTTTTTTTTTTTTTACAATGTAGTAAAACAAAGAGCTGCACGATTCTGGGTAAATTGAGAATCCCAATTATTATTTTTCCAAACAGAGATCACAATTTTTGTTAATTGCTGCAGTCTTTTTAAAATGCTTAATCTAAATTAATTATTTATTTATTTTTAAATAAGTTTGAATGAACGATTCAGTGACTCAGTCATAAATACTTGTATAATTATTGGAAGAATCAGCATTTCTGAAATGCAGATCTGAATGTTATGTTGGGATTTCGTCAAAAGTTTTTTGACAAACAGGGTGATCATTGTTATTTAGGAATGAGATTGGTATTACGTTTAAGAGAACATATTGACTTTGTTTTCCATTCAATTTATTCCTTAAATGTTCATTACTTGGTCTTAAAAAAATCTTACATTTACCTTCATAATACCTGCTGTAACCCTGACAATTAAAAGGTAAAAACTTTAACTAGAAGGTTGGAACAAGTTAAGTCAGCATTTATTTGAAATTGAACCCTATTATGTTGTAATATGATTTTCATAAAAGTGCATTTTTATCCACAGCGTTTCCCTTCAGAGCAGAGGTGCCAGTGGATCAGATGGGCCACTTTGGACTCACAATGATTTGAGCAAACTCAAATCTGGACTCAAACTATTCTAACACACACTCAGATCTTCAATGGCCTGAAGATAGTGAACCACCAACCCTTAACTTTGAACCCTATCATATTAAAAACAAACACTTGAGGGCTAAGCTGGACTGAGGCTCTTCTAAACACACACATCCAATATCTGACACGATGCTGTTGTGTGCTGCATAGTTGGAAACACCAAGTTGTTTTTGTTTTATAATTCATGTTTATTGAGGAAGTGTTTTGCCTTACTCTAATATCATTACAGTTAGTCCAAACTGCAGTTTAATCGACTCCGCTCAGTCCTACAGCTCTTGGCACCCGTTCAAACCATCCGGAAGTGAAACTCCCATGAGCAATGTCTCACGAGGTTCTAATGAAGAAGTTGGTGCTGTTTGAAAAATCTTGTAAATTACATTATTTTTGAACACAAAGTTGCCAAATAAACATGTTTTTCTGTACTTAACTGTTACATGTTTATTCTGTTTTTCAAGATTCACTAACTAGCCCAGGTTTCTTGCACTAAAATAGGTGTAAATACTGAATTGAACATGCTACTTAAACCTCCATGGTATTGGCTTCCATTTTGACTGACTACACATCCTAAACATCAGTTCATTTGCACAGACTTGCATTAAACTGTGGTAGTCAGTATGCTGTATGCAGCACAATTGGGTTATCTTATTTTTCCCCCAAAACGTATTTGGACAAGTGAGCCACTTAAAAATGCACACTACTGTTCAAAAGATTGCGCTTATTATAACTTCAGAAAATATGAAGAAATTAAATACTTTTTATTAAGCAAGGATACAGTTAATTGATCAAAAGTGACAGAAAGTTTACAGGCCATTTCCAAAAAGTATTAAGCAGCACAACGGAGTAATGCTTTTGAGTTATATCACATTACTTTTGATGTATTTTCCATTAAATAAAGGTAGCCTCTGTGAGGATATGTTCAAAAATGTAATTGAAAGTTGTTTGTTGGAGAACTGGGGCATTTTTCTGTGTTTATTGTCAATATAATGAACTAAAAGGTGGTTTTTTTGCCAAGACTCCAATGTAAACTTGAGAGGAACTGACTTCAAAAATCGATGAAAGGTCAAACGGATTAAAAAAATAACCTAAAAAGTGGCTCAGAAAAGGTTTTTCTGAGAAAAGCTAGCATCATTTGTTTGACATTTTGTATCTGCAATTCACTTGTAAAATTGGAATGTGGATCTAGGTGTGGATTGATTTTTTTTTTCTTATGTCTGTTTTTCTAATAACTTTTAAAATTAATTAAAATAAAAAAATTTCTAATAATAGTGTCTAACTGTGGTGTTTTGCAATATTGCTTTCTAACTTTGTCAGTCTTTCTTCATTCTAAAGTCAAACACACAACCAATAGGAACACAGACATGATAACAATTAACCAAATAGAGTCTGACTTTATTGAGAGGAACAAACACCTTTTGTCATTGAGACTTACATTTTGTTTGAGTACACAGACCCAAAGCGTTATAAAGTTTTCCCACACTACTTCGCTTTCATCTTGTTTTTCATTCTCTTTTTTTGGTTCTTGTTTGTTTTTATTGAAAACAAGTTTAAAGCAACATGTTTCAGTCAGTAGAGAGTAAAACATACTATTGTATGTCATCACAGCACGAGACTCAAAAGTGTCAAACCACTCGGTCAACCTGCAAAGGCGCGTAAAACCTAAAATACAAGGGGGGAATAAACAGCGAAACTCAAATTTAAGAACACGTTTTCAAGATCATCCACACTACTTCACAAATCGCCGCAATTTTATAAGACCAAACATCAAGTATAATGTCTTTCATAAAGGAGCAGAAATAATAATAATAAATCAGTTAGTTCCTGAGAATCAATCTGTTGGTGAGAGTGTGTGTGAGCAAGTTATAGCTGGTGTAATTCAATATTGAAAACATACATGTAAATGTACAGAATTCATCAGATCTCCAAACAATCTGTTCTGACAGTTGGAAATGCCCATTTTTGACGTGTTTTTTTTCTCCTTGGGATATATCCATTTGTCCTGTCGGTTCTTCTTGGACATTCTCATCAAACCTAATCATAAAAACTTGAAGTTCGTGCAGTAATATCAGGTTGTCCATTCAGACGCCAATAGAGATTAAGAGCTGAAGGCAAGAAAAAAAAACTCATCTTCTCATTAGCGCTTCCGCTTATGAGAATAAAAAGACAAGCAAGAAGCGTAATGCTCGGTGCTGTACAGTCAGTGTGTGCTCGACTCTCACAAACCAAAATAGTTCAACTGTAAGGCAGATTACGAGGTGCGCGTGTTCATGTGTTAGTGTGGACATCTTTCAGTAGGAGACTCGGATAAAGCTCATTTCGCTCGTGTGTGTGCATGTGGCATCAACTTCAGTTCAAACTCACAAACTCAAACTCACCTATTTGCTAAATTAAAAAATGAAAATAAAAACATTATTGTGCAAATTCCACCCAATTAAAGTTTCATCTTTAACCTGGAATGGCACCTCCATGTCTTCATTGTAGAAGGTAAGCTATGTTACAAGTGAAACTGGTGAATTTACCATAAATTCACACTAGTGCGCACACAATAGTCAACATTTCACATTAGTTATATCCGTACTAATGATAGCATGTGATCAGCTGACTATGGTTGTCAAGGCAACCTATGAGTCTAAGTGTGTTTGAGAGACAGATCCTGCTCGAATAAGCTGGTAGAGTGTCTATGTAAATGAAATGCACTAATACTGTGCAAATACAAGAGGTTTGACAATAATTTTCAATATTTACAAAGAGGAAAAATATATTAGGAGCACACTGATTGTGTCAGAATGTCTCTCTCCTAAATCTATAACTTTAACAAAGAGAGAGAGAAAGAGAGTGTAAATGATGATATATAAAGCCACGCCCTAAAAATCCTTCAGTCAAACCGAAATGAAGTTCAGCTCCACTGAAGTAAACTATCATTTTCAAAAATAATTAATTGGCATGGAAAAGTGAGGGAGGTAAAAGAGGACCGAGAAAGAAATGAAAAGCAGAGAGATAGAGAGAGAGATCCCTGTCTGTAGTGGTCTGCCCGGCAGGAAATAAGCCTTCTCTATGGGCTACTCGAGTGACACACGGTATCACTGACATTATGGCATTATATTTCTTTATCCTTTTTTTAAACAAAACTAAGCTTTTTTTTCTTTTTTTTAAATATATATATAGATATATATACTCATATAAGTGATACTGTACAGCTCAGAAATATATATTTTTTTACAATCAAGAAATAGATACAATTTGTATCAACAAGCAAAAGGTCGTTTCTGAACACTTGATGTGTGGTAGCTTGCTGCTCAACTGCATTGGGGTCTGAATCTTGGAGCATAAGCAGCGGACAGCAATGTCTTATGTCTTCATTTAAAAAAAAAAAAGTTTCTAGTTTGCTCTAGAAACACTATTCTTCAGGATTTTTTGCTCCAAGGTTCAGAGAAGGGGAAGTGGAGACCCAACCATAAAAAAAATATGATGTCCTATATATACACACACACACAATTAGGCCTGAAACATACCCGATGTAAATACATCAATGATGCTAATGACATGGTGACATTAGCGAAATTTTGTGGGCAAAAAAGGTCCATTGAACAACTTGAACCCAATGTGAAAACTGTGCCCTCACAGGAAATCCCTGGATTACTATCGAAATTACTGTATAAATAAATATGTTTCTGGCTAAAAATAATTACATTTTAAAATATTAATTTAGAAAAGCCGCTTAAATAATGGCCTTCTGAAAGAACCTTGGTGAAAAACAAAAACTAAGAGGAAGGTAAACTGTGTGTTCGTATTAGAGAGCGGGTTTTGGGTACAAATCAAAGCAGGGTTGGGTGCGGTCGAGAGGCAGCAACAAACTGTCAGCCAAATGTCAGAAACAACCCAACAACAGCCTGGTGTTCCTTGTGTGTGTCGCACAGGAAGAGACAGGTAGGCAGTGTGTCACACCTTCCCACGAGCAGTAACGGGGCCCCACGGGGCTACACCTGTGCTCATGGAAAAACAACAACAACAAAAAAAACAAAAAACGAAGGAGCAATTTAAGTCTTTTTGAAAACACCCAGAGCATCTCTGGACTGGTAACATTCGCGCTCTCCTGAAGATATGTTAATTTACAGGGCGGAGCAGAGGGAAAGGGGTGGTCTCTCAGCATCAATCAGGAAATAGATGCTGCACAAGAGCATTTTGCCGAAGAGACTCATTCTCCTCCCCAGTTTGTGAATACTTGAACATAGTTATTGTCTATCAAGTCAAACGTGAACGACGCTCTCTGTCCAGCATAGTGCTAACATGCTTTCTGGGAGAGATTTACTGAAGCCCATGCTTACCAAATACTCAAACATCTCTCTTTAAATCTACAGTACAACGACAACATTAAGGAAATACATGTGGATAACTTCTCCAACTAAATACCTAGTGCTTTCCGATCAGAAAATCTTTTTGGCTCAGTCTTTTAAAATGGCTTAATACACATCTGTGCATGGGCACGAATCGACGTTGCAGGGCACATTTGCAGCCAATTAAAATTAAAACTGCAGCATGGCAGGATCTAAACCTCTTTGTCCCGGTGCTTGCCTTTATAAAACAAATGTGACCTCCACAACTATTAAGCGCTATTCACATTAACGTGTGTTGAGGTCACTCCGATGTAAGGCCATAAAAGTTCAAAGATTCATGCTTTGAGGGTACGCAAGCGCTCATTCCTCGTTCCGAAATCACACATCAAGTCATCACGCACACCAAATAAAACACCACAGCGTCACGTCATATTTACACGCAAATGCAAGTGAATACACATATACATACACAATACTATTCATATTGTGCAGGATCATTTCTGATCGGTTTTACTAAAGAGATTTCTCTCATGTAATTCCTTTTCATAGGATAAATGTTATCATAACCCACAAAATAACACATTCTCAAGATCTGCCATCGAACTGGCAGGCAGAGTTACTCCTTCAATGTGGATACACTTTCGAGTCACCTCAAGAACATTTTGGCCCATCTCAGGAGCTGAATGGTGGAGAAATCAGGACTTTGCAGAAGACTTTTGTTTTGCTGAGGGATCTCACTTTTCTATGCTAAACTTATCAGGTACAAGATCCAGGCTCCCATATGGCTTAACAGATGACATAACAACCGATGCAGCATCAATGCTATCATGCTAGCCAACCTCCGAACGGATCCGAACCAATCAAAATTACGTATGGGGGGATGGCTGTTTCTTAAGAGCTAAACAACACTTGAGGTGTTCAATTTCTCATCCACTATGATATCAATATATCATGTGGTGGTGGTGCTGTTGTTGTTAGCAGCCTCTTGTGATGTGCTTAGTGGCAAGAGCGCAGTTTAGTGACGATGACGGCAGCCAGCTGCTGGGGATCGGTCATGTGAGGGTTCTTCTCCATGACTGAATGGACCACATACGCCGGGAAGATGTTACAGAGGTTTCGGTAGGTTTGAAACTGGTGTTCTGGAATAGGGTGCCGCTCTTGGAGTTCCCCCACTAGCCCACGAGAGGTGGGCTGTGGAGGCGGCACGCTATCCCACGGTGACCTCCAGATCTGCTCCATCTTCTCGGGCATGCTGCGGACCATCACCCTCTCACAACAAGGCATGAGTCCTCCTGTTAAACCATAGCCTCCGTAGCTGTAGGGTTCGTTACTGCAAGGCAAAGGGTCCCAGCTGGCATGCTGCTCTCGACAAAGAGGTGGTCGGCGTTGGCGCAGTGGGTTGCTCTCGTAGAGCCGCGAGTCAGAGATGCTGTCCATGCGAGTCATACCTAAGGATCGACCCTGCTGTGAAGGGTTGGCGGAAGGCAACACATTCTGGGTGAGAGGAGGGTAGTCTCCAGGGCAGCTGGAACGAGCACTAACAACCTGGTGTTGGGAGTGGGGCGCAAGGTGGGCGGAGGATTGCTTACGAGGACCCGGTTTGGGTTCATCCGTTCCGTAGCTCTGCACACGCGTCAACGCCTCATGGTGGAAACCGTGAGAAAAGGCTTGAAGGCGTGTTTGTGCCGAAGATTGGTTCGGAGTCTGCGAAGGTGGCCCTTTCATGCTGTCGTCCAGGCTGCCCTCCATTGAGTTCAGGTACATCTCTCCACTGTAGGACGAGAAGGAGTCCGACGAATGGCTTCGGCTGGGTTCTGGGCACATCCCTGGAGCTCTGCCAGGATATCCTCCACCCACCCCTACAGGATCTGACTGCTCAAGACTGCAGAAACTGTCTTGGAGGCTCATGGTGGAAAAGTCACTGAGCATGGAATAGTAGCCGTGGTCGCTTACCACCGAGTCGTACTTCGGAAACGGCTCACCGTAAGCCACAGATGCGCCCTGGCTATTGGTGACTAGGATGGGGGGATATTGGATGCTGCCCGCATGCTCAAGTGAGCTGTGGGTAAAGTGCAGAGACCCTGGAACAGGGCTGCTTGCGGAACGAGTGTTCAGAGCGCCCGCTGCATGACTTTTTGTCAATGGCATAGTTGGAACGCTAAGCGCTGACACTAAGGATGGTACTGAACTGGCCTCGGCCTTCCGCGTTGGACAAAGTCTCTCTTCCTGCTCACACGCAACCGACCGGATACTGGGGTCAGACTGGCGTTTGGGTGCCACTCGCTTTGCCTCTGAGCTATTGTCTCCCTTGGCAGAAGAACCAGAGGTCCCACATTTTGCAAGTGCCCCCTCGCTCATTGTTTTTACAGCGGAGAGTTTGGCGAAGGCTCTGAGCTCGTCTGCAACAGCCCGTAGTGGTTGGTTGGCTCTTTCTGGGTGGTAGTACTTGCACTTATGGCCGTACGTGCACTTCTTACCTGTGATAAAATCAATAGTGGCGGTTGAGCCAAAATTGTTACTTCTGTTTTTTTAAAACACAGATAGATATATATCTTTTATTCCATAGCATGACAATAACCTGCATGAAAAATGTATCTAATATATTTATTTATGTTTTTAATATGCTGTAATGTTTTGAAATAAAGACATAAATTAATTCCCTACTTTTGCTGTACTGACCATAAGGACACGGCTGCTTCTTGTGCTCTGGAACCACTGGTCGTTTGCGGAGAAAATTTTCCAGACTGGGTCCATGTCTGCCTAAAGGATCATCAGGAGGCATAAACCTACAAAACAAGCAAACAGACAAAAATAAGCACAACTATGATTTGAATGATTAAAATCAAATTATATAATGAAACAATATTGGTAATATTATAAATATGAGGTGACAACAACATTACTTGACAACATCAGTTCATATATCAATATCGTAACGAATAGAAATAACCTTAAATAATGTATGGTTATCTGCATCTTTCCGTCTCTTATGTATAGTTACTTTTTAAACTTTTCAGCATGACACCCAAGCGGTTGCCGTGGTAATGAACAACCTGGTTGTTAAAGCGAATGTAAAGTTATAATTCTGTATTTGAGGCAAAATGACTAAATATGCAGCACGAGTTATATATTTCTAACTCCATACAGTTAGCCACTGAACCAGCCTATAAAATCTTTTTCAAGGCTGTGCTGGTTGCATTTGAGGTAACGTTATAGGTCATGGAGTTTCTCAGATTTCGCTTGAGACCGGTAAACATTCACTTCGATAGTAGTCGTGTCTCCTTCATTGCGTATTTTTGTATTTTGAATATATCCCTCCACTGCATACTGTAATTCCTTGTGCCTCGATCTGGAGGATATCACAGAGGTATTGCTCCGAAAAAGGTTAGCGGGTATACCGTTTTCTGTCATGGGAATCTGTCGTGCTGATCATGTTTGACCATTTGTTTGACGGGCGTAGTACCAATAACTAGGGGGCATGGCTTTTGCAGACGGTCATTCGGGAACAAGCAAATACATAATCTCAACAGGTCTTATCATGGGATCTCACTCCTAATCACTGAAAATCAAACTTCAGCAAATAAATCAGGAAATGAATTCAAGCTTATTTATAAAATAGAACAAGAGATTTGAGAGTTGAAACAAGTGACAGAGCAATAAAAATGAAAGAAGAACAGAGAGAGAGGAACGCCATACGGGTGCGAGGGTGGAAAGCAAAAGACGCAAATGTGAGAGAGAGAAAACCCCGTCACCAAGGTAACTGTGGGCGAGCATACTTGTCATTGACGAAGCTGTACATAAGGAGTCGGTCCTCAATAAATTTCTTCCACTCCGGTTTCTCATTCTGCAGGTCTCTGTAGTTATCATTGGACACGATGATCCCGTCCGAGTCACAGGCCAGCTTGACAATAAAACGGTCATCGTAGCAAACCACTCGCCGGCCTTGAACTCTGCGAGACGGCGTGAAGACGAGGATCTTTTCCTTCTCTAATTTCCGTAGGATCTCCTGATCTGAGGATGAGGGTGACATCACACATCATCACTTCCTGTGACCTCATGCACAGACATACGCAAACTTGAATAAACATCACAGCACAGATGGACGATCTCACTCGACACATGGCATCTCCTCAGAGACATTCATACAGGCAAATAAAAATGTCTCTTGATGGTAACACACACTGAAAAGTTTCACTGTATCTAACAACACACAGTAGGAGTGTTGAATTAAACTTATATTATCTCAATTAATATATATATATTACATATATTAAACTAGAAAACAAGAAATAAAGAATTTAAACTAGTGAGCTCAGACTTTTAAACTGTATATCCACACAGACTCGCACTTCTGGGAAGTGTTAACACGTCATAGGAACATTATTTTCTGCAGGTTCCTTTCACTTCTGTGGTACCTTTAATTGGTGCATCAGGTCTTGACTGTTCTTTCCTCCATGCTGGGACAAAAACTGTGATGTCTTTGTGGCCTTTCTCCAGGAACCAATCAACAGCCAGTTGAATGCCCAGGCATGAGAACACCTCTTTGTTTCCATGGCTACAAAATAATATTACCGACATCAAATTACACGCATGCAGACATACACTGAATTCACTCACTGATTGAACATTCCTTAAAACTGAAAGCATTTCAAAACAGGAACTTCAAGATAATTTCTCCAAAAGACATCCTGCAAAAACATACATTTCAGAAGTAAACAACAATAGTGAGAATCTGGTGACTCTCTAGTTCAGTTTCCCAGGTTGTGAGTGACTAATTCTCTCTTCAAAATGTTAACAGTCCAGTGCCTTAAAGGGATAGTTCACACAAAAATTTAAATTCTGTCATAATTTACTCACCCTCATCTCGTTCCAAACCTGTATGAATTTCTTTTATCTGCAGAACAGAAAAGATGATATTTTGAAGAATGTTGGTAAACTAACCGTTTTGTTCCAATTGACCTCCATAGTATTTTTTTTCCAAACAATGGAAGTCAAAGTAGAACCAAAACTGTCTGGTTACTAACATTCTTCAAAATATATTTTTTTTTCATTCCACAGAAGAAAGAAATGCATAAAAGATTGAAATGACATGAGAGTAAGTAAATTATGACAAAATTTACATTTTTGGGTAACTATGCCTTCAAAGTCTACATGAAATCAAAATTGACATCGGATGCCCGATATATCAGTAAAAAATTGGTTATCATGCAATATTAAAGATTTTGTAATTCAATGGTATCCGTCTCAAAATCCATACTTCATATTGTGCATTATAATGTTATGATGCTTAAATTCACTTATAGCATTTAAAACTGATTTCAGATGCTCTCTTTTTGTTTTAAATAATTTATTATTTTAATACCAGCCATTAGATAACATCTATTGGTTAGTTGACCCAAAAATATTTCGGTATATCAGCCAAATTTTTTAAATCGATACATCCTTAAAATTGACCCAATTACTTTCAAAATGAACGTAAAAGCATACATATGCAGGTGTTGTCAGCAATTAAAGAAATTGTTTGTATTAGTTTGGTTCTCATTAGAATTTACCTCATGGCAACATTGGATCCATCAATCACAATTGGTCTGAGGTTCTCATACATGTCTGACGAGTCATCTTCCAGTGATGCCTCAGGGCTTACGGCTTCTTTGGCTCCCACCACCCGTGGTGCTAAACTGGCAGTGCCCGCTGCTGCCTGGCTCTCTGGATCTCCTTTATTCCCAAGCCGCACCAGCTCGGCCAATAAATCATTGATTAGCGCGCTGGCTCCCAGTTTACCCAGCACAGACTCCACCTGCTCTCCGGAGTAGCCCAGTTTTAGAGCGAAGTCCATTTTGGATTGGTAATCTCGGTCACTGGTTTGACGTAAGGGCATTTGGGCTGAGACGGTCGGAGCAAGGGCTCTCTGGGAGGGGTCAGTGCGGGTGTCATCCGAGCGTAGCTCCTGCAAGGTGCTGCTCTGGCTGAAGCTGGGGCGGTCCAAACAAGATGAGCGGCACAGCTGCCGGTGAGGTTTGGTTGCTACGAGCGGGTCCCGCCTCCTACCCGTCGGTCCATCTCCTGAGCCCGCGGTGCCGACTCCTCCTCCAGAACTCCCGCTCCGCGACCGCCCCTCTCCTTCGCTCTCCGAACTGGTCCCCTCTTCCCCAGCTTCATCCTCCTCCTCCTCTTCTTCTGGAGAGTCGTGGCCAGCAGCTGCCGGCGAGGGCTGGGGGTTGTGGCAGCCGCGGTGCTCCATCTTCAGGCGCTGCAGCATAGCGCACGCAGCTGTTACCTGCGCATGACCTCCCTGAAGCTCCAGTGCATGGTCCCTCACCTGCACCACGGCGCAGCTCTCGTACTCAATAGCTGTGCGTAGGGCATGCAGTCGCCGCTGCAGCCAAAGAGTCAAACGCTCACGGTGTTTATGAACAGGACTTATCAGCGATACAATGTACTCCTGACAAAAAGAGAAAATATTATGTACAGATCATTTGCCATAATTATTCAATATTATTAGAATGTACATTCAAATACTTTATGTGGGCCAACTTAATGCCCATTTTAAAAAAATGTAGCTACACATCCAAACCATGCTGAGAACTCTTCTTTTTTATACATAAAACATTCATTACTATCTAATTAAAATAAAAGACGACAGAGATAGCCTATCATCAGTTATAATCTTAATTATTCACATATTTGCTCTCATTTCTTTCACTGAAAAAAAAAAAAAAATCAAGGGTTCAATCAAACAATACACTGACTATGATTCAAAGGTGCAGTAACACCTTACTTCTCTCACACATCTCAGCTCACCAAACACTAAATGTTCATTGTTTTATATATAATTACTAAAGCTTGAAATTACAGTGAAATCTAAATTACAGCAGTAACTTTAGATGGACACGACGTTACAGAAACAATGAACCGTTCCTAAATGGCAGACAGGTTTTTTTTTTTTTTTTTTTTTTGCCAGTGATTATAAATGTTTAACATATACAGTACAGTTCAATATTTTAATAATAGTCTTTTAATAATAGGTTATATATAATTTTAATAAAACGCTAACTTACTTGTAATCACAATCAGCAAGGGTGCGTTAAGTTATTTATAATGGTTCCTACTGAAAAAAAAACGCTGCTCTTCAAACTTCCTGTTCATTTAAGAAAAAGAAAACTGATTCTGAACAAAACATTAGAAAGATTTCTTACGGATCATGAGCCCAAATTGTACGTCGGTCGTTTCTTTCTTCTCTCAATCAGAAGCAGCTTTTCTAAATAACGTTTCACTATGCGTTCACAATACTCGACACATGCGCATTAGAAAGAGGCATCCTTTTTTAGTGTCCGCGATATTCCTCTCCAAATCTTATGAGCGATAAAATGTCTTTGTGCTCGTTTAAACTAGAATTTTGGGGTATCACTTACACCGGCTCTCGTCAACGCGGGAGTCTATTGTTGTTGCCGTCCTCAGTCGTTTCTGTTGTTCTTATTCTGTCTCCCCCGTTTCATTCCCGACTATGAAACAACGGGCCGGGCCAGTGTTGCCACCTTGTGGGCAAATGCTGCGTTCAAGCCATGCCGTAATTACCGTAATTACTAGAGGAAAGGTGACAAACAACGACAACCCGTGACATTCTACTGGGACCTGACCTGTCCTGTTCACGTCCTCGGAATTAAACGGTTCTATCACTCTAACCAAAAATTAATATACAGCGGCCACGTGGTGCAAGTCGGAGTCCCCAGATAATGCCGAATTTACTAGAGTAAAGTGAACACTTTTTATAGATCGGTATCTGGTAATTACGGTTATTCGGATATGTACCTATGATATGGAGGACGCATTCAAACTAATTTGTGTAACAAAAAAAATAAAGGCGCATGTGCGAGCTGCATACACTGCATGCGCGAAGAAAGGCTGATACATCGCGTGCAGTGTACGCATACACGCCTTAGAAGGGCTTTACAATCATGGACCATCAATCCTAAACATCCTAAAATTCAAAAAATTCCAATTTATACACGAAAAAAAAAATAATATAAATCTAAAATTAACTTATATATTTAGAATAGTGTTAAATCGCAATTGGGGGGGAAAGGTCAGAATTATGAGATATAAATGCAATTGTGAGTTATAAAGTTAGAATTACAAGATATAAACTCAAAACTGCAAATTATAAAGTCCGAATTGTGTGATATACAATCACAATACTGAGAAAATGTCTCATTAAGAATTATGGGATTAAAAAAAAATCGCAATTATCTTTTAAATCGTTTTATCCTGTGGCAGAAACGAGCTTCCATACAAATAAGCTTTTCATAAAGCCTTTTTAATGATTCTTCTTGTAAAATCTAACACAAATAGTTGGCTCTGAGCTTCTTCTGTTTGTATAAAGCTAACTCATTATTTTATTTTATTTAAGTCAGCCAAATTGTAAAGGTAAGCATATTCATAGAAGACAATCGCAATGACGCACGTGCCCTTGTGTCACAAGCTGCTCCAAATTATGTGCTGTGAGTCATGGAATATATATATATGGATATAGATATGTTAGGCTGATGGGGGGTTGCTTAAATGCTTGAACTTCTAGGTATTGCGTGTAAACAATTTCAATATGACAAAAAGAAAAGTTACTTTGGGTGTGGTGGTGTGTGGCTATGGCTGAACTTCCTTGAGGGGAAATGACACTTTAACTAAGTTTCAGAAAACCATTCCCTTTTTTTTCAGCAGATTCCTGCACGTTCGCCTTAATTATCTGCCGTTTCCAAAAACGTATTTAACTACAGTACATTTTTGACAAGCAAATATTGCTAATTCTATCCAGTTCTATCACGGTTGATACGCATCATCTAATATGTGTGTGAGTTAAAGTGAGTGAGAATATGTGAATCTGCGTATGCATGTGTGTGCATCCCTGTTTGTTTTTGTGTGGGGTGAGAGGGATGTGTGTATGTGTAGGTTGAGAGTGTGTGCGTGTGCGTGTGCATGTGCGTGTAGAGAGAAAACCGATAGCACCATCCAGCTACGAGAGGCTCCTCTGCGCTCATGACACCGGTTGCTTAGCAACGCAGCCCTGTCATCAGCTAACTGCTTTTTAGCAGTCACGACTAACACAACGCAGTGTTCTCTGGGAAAGCCTGGAACACACACACACCAACACGCAGTGCACATATTACATTTACACCGCTCGAAGAAACCATACACTCCTTCACGGGCAAAGCCGAAATGCACGCATAAAGCACACACATGCATGCTTCACTAATAAACACCTACGCGCAGAACTGGAGCTCTCCAAGCACATGCGACAGAGAGAGGGAGTGAGAATGAGAGCGTTTGTTTGCATTTGAGATGAATAATATCACTTTAAACTGACAGCGTATACAATCTTCCCCCTCTCTCTCTCTCTGCAGATGTGCCGTACTGAAGAATTTCCTCCCCAGCGTGACATAGCTGCTGTTCTGAGTCGTGACGCTGACTCCAGCAGCATGTTCCCCTGGGCACTGAACCGCATCATCTGCGCTCGCAAGCCACGGGCCCAGTTCTGAGATCAGCTCCACCACAGCAGACTGAGAAGCTGTTCTGAGATCAGTCAAATAGCCTGCAGTAAACCGGAAAGATTTTTAATAATCACTATAGCTTGAACAGAGAGTTGCATGTTATGGTAACTGGACAGGACAGTAGAGAACTTACCCTTACACAGTATACACATTTTTGTTAACATCTTCATACTTTCCACTGTTCTGAATCTTAAAACAAATATTCGGAGATGTTTAGTGGTCAATATGATTTTATAATAATATTAAACATATCAATACCTATTATCAAAAATGTTACGAATGTATACATTCATATAATAAAAATTAAATATAAAAATATATTTCTAATATATTTAAATATGAATAATCACTATTGGTATTATTACTAGTTAATATTAATTATTATTGTTAGAATTATTCATCATAAAGATGTTCAGATGCATTCATATAATAAAAAAATAATATTAAAATATATTATGAATATATTTAAATATAAATAATTATTATTAATATGATTACTACTACTAATAATAGTAATAGATTATAAATAATCATTTTTAACATCTGATAATGATAATAATATTATTAATTAATAATAATAATAATAATAATACTGTTATTAATTATGCTGTTAATAATAGTCATTATAAAGATGTTATAATGCATTTATAGAAGAAGAAATAAAACATTAAAATGTATAACAAATATATTTCAATCTATTCAAACAAAAATAACAACTAAATCATAAACAACAAAATTTACATTGTTTTGTATGTATCAAGTTCTGCAGATCATCTGCATCATGCAGTCAGTGTTTGCATAGTCAACCACAGCAGACTGAGAAACTGTTCTGAGATCAGTGAAATAACCCAAAGAAAACCTGATTAATTCTGGTATAGAGGTAAGTGGCTAAAACCATACATATTAACACAAAGTTTTAAATAAAAAAGGGAAAAAAAAAATATCAGCTGCTCATTCACCATGCCATGTTCATTATGATGTGTCTGACGTAATTAAACTTCCGCTTTCTCTGTAAATTACCTGGCCAGCTTAAAGAACTGATTGGGAAACTGCTGCTGAGTGGGAGGGAGAGGACTGTGCATGATGCACATGAAAACGCAAGGAAGAAAGGAGGAGAAAGCTGAAATTTTTCTCCTTAGATGAAAAGGTACAGTAGAAGCCTGCAACTCAGTAAGAAAGGAACAGAGACCCGAGATTGGAAACAATTAGCCTTTTGCAAAGGTAAGACTTCATTTAAAACATAAAAGAGCCGGTGAACAAATACAGGAATTCTCCGTACTCTTTCACGCCAAACACTTGACTGACTGCAGAGGGAAACTGCAGCATAGTGAGCCAGAATGGCCATCTCATGAACAAACAAGTGGCCCATCATGTGGGGGCAGCTTTTAGTGAGCCGCACGAGTGGACCACCGAATTTCATTTTTTGTAAACATACAGCTCATAACTCATGTCCTAAAAATCACACAATACTCTATGACTCAAACAGTCGGCAGCAAAACAACACAAGTGTATTCAGCAGACGCACCACAAACAAGCCGGACAACAGAATGCATCCTCCTCTTAAAAGTCTCCTTCCTTCTCCTTTTCTTCCCTCGCTCTTCCCCTTTCATTTCTGCCTTGTTTTGCTTCTCTTTTTCCCTTCTCTTCTCCTCACCTCCTCCACAACACAGGCGTACAATCAGCAAGGCCACCATGGCACTCGAGTGCAGACACACAGTTTTATGCTGGTTTGTCTCATAGCAACAAGTGGAGTCTCTATGCTGGAGCTCATGGCTAGATGAAGCTCATAAGGCCCACGGTGCAGCTCCGAGCTCAGGCACTCAGTCTAAAGACAGTAGGTGGCAGCATCTTATGGTGCAATTTTGACAAAATAGTCAGCAGGAGGTGAAAGCATGCACTCACTCACACAGAGATGCACAGACAGGAGGCTTCCTCTTACCTGAAGCGGCATTCTTTACTTTTTAATGCTTTAGGTGTATGCAAAAAAATGCAAACACAGGCAAATGCAGCAGCAATAGACCAATGCTGTGACATTGACATGTATGCACAATGCCAAATAAGTGTGTGTGTGTGTGGACTCACTGCCTTGACTCTGTTTGGCCCAAGCAAGGACACCTAATTTCGCATGACCAGCATCCTTCAAGTGTAATGCCTCATGCTTATAAAGAGCAGAAAAAAAGTTTATTATTGAATACCTGCCTGTAAATGGATAAATACACCTTTTTAGGGATCCCTAAGAGTACACGTTTGGCTATTCTTGCAAAGGCCAAATGTTTAGCCTATAAAATGTCAAGTGTCAAAGATCTACTCGTGGATTTTTGAAGTGCACACACTATTTGAGCAGCTCATAGGCCTACGTTATGTTTTGCTTCGGCTCTAGTAATGTCAACAGGTTTGTGTAAGAATCAGGCTTAAAGACAAAAGTAATAAATATGATTATATTAATATGTTTTTTAAAAGTATTCTGTCTATGATAGGTCCTCATCTGTAGGCTATAGCTTGAAAAGTCAACGAGTGCATGTTTGCGCGCCGCCTGTCAAAGTGAACTCAGTAAATCTCTGTAAAACGTGAGTCGTGAGCATCAGGTCTGGTCGTGATTTAAAGATCATTTCGCCCCCACCTGAAACATTTACAATTAGTGAAATTTACTTATTCATGTAAGCAACCAACAAAGTTCATCATTTGCCCATGAAAGTAAAAACAGACCCGAAAATGTTATGAGCTTGAATGGCGATGTCGGTCGTGCTCGCGCGGCTCTCCTGCGACACACAGGCACTCTCACACACACATACTTACTTTAGCTTTAGTGCAGTCTTCTTCCTTGCCGTCCTCTATGTTTACGATGATACTGGAGCCGGCGTTGGGGGTGTTGCAGCTGGACACCGCGGTGCTGCAGCTCACTCTGACCCGGAAAACCCGCTGGATGTGCGGGATGCAGCGCTGGAGCGCAGGGCCTGCACTGGCGGGCGCGGCGAGCTCCAAAACCATTTATCAGACGGATAAATAAGCGATCACGACGCGCTCCGGAACACTGGCAGTGGCACGCATTCGCCCTGCGTCCTGCTTCATGGGTGGAGCAGCAGGGGAAAGAAAGAAAGTCACGGGAGGATGCAAGTTTGGCTACGGCCGAGCATAACGGCAAACGTACGGGACGCGCTACATAAGCATCTATCATCCATCTCCATCCCTCCTTCTCCTCTCGCCCTCCCTTCCTCACTTCCCTCCCTCCCTACAGCGGCCCCGACTGCACCCACCGCCTGCGCTTCGGCAACACGTCGGACGCCCCCTGTCGCTGCGCTCGGACGGGCAAAGCCGCAGAAGTGTGTGTTATTGCTGCTGCCTCCGTTGAAGCACGTGGGTGGACGGGACTCCGGTAATGCAGCAACCGAGGGTTAAAAATATATCTTACACGTTGAGCGCCGAAGGCGCTGTCCGATATGACCGTCAGACACCCAACTTTATTGTTCAGGTTGATACAATATTCAGCTGTTGTTGTCGTTGTTGTTGTTATTGTTGTTTTTAAATCCGTTATAATTAAGTATCAGTAGAATGCTGGGCAGAAGAGCGGCACGAATGCTTTTAAACTGTTTAACTACAATTCTCAGTAGCTATATGAGATAACGTCGATTTTTTTTTAAATGTCGCTTTTCAGTTGTAAATGTTTGTTTAGCGATGAATTTCCCTTATAATAATTTACCTTTCAAGCCCGCCTGTCTTGCATTTTTCGGTTGTCTGTTTTGAATCAGAATTGCGATGCCAGATTCGCGAAAAGAATCATTTTGAGTCGATTCTATTTGATGATTTAACTTTGTGAATTGCTCAAGCGCGGTTCGCGATTCTTGTTCGGAGGGTTCAGTCGCGAACTGAATCATTTGGTTCCTCGAAAACAGTTGGATTAAATAACTTAGTAAGTTGATTTGCCTACAAGCAATCGAAACCAAACTGTAAATGCATCCTATCGTTTGCCAATTATGATAAGGTTTATGAGTTCAAACTTGAAGCGCAGCATGTGTAAAGAATTGACCATCAAAGCACATTAAAGAATAAAAAAATAACCCCTGCGTTGCCACTCTTTTTGGACATGTATCATTCTATGAAATACCATGGAAACCACATCGGAACATGAATGGAAAAATAATATATAGTGCATTGTCACGTGAATGTACACTCAGTTGGCAATATAAATGTTTTTCTGTATTAGTTGATGTGTTTTTGTGTGTTTGTTTGTTTGTTTTCTAATAAACATCTACTAAATCACATTACAGTAAACTTTCATATTTAAGGCTTTTAAGAATATGAACTTGAAGTGGCTTAAAATGTAACAGGTTACATTTTGCTGTCTCTAAATGTAGGGTTGGTATCTTAGTTACATTTTAGGCTACATTTTTTAATAGCTTGCCCAACATTTCAAATAAGATTAAGAACATATCTGAATTATATCATAAACGTCTAATAAACGCTTGTGTTTTATTCACAGACTGGTTTTATTTAACACACTCTCCCTTTAAACCCCGCCCAGGATTGTGGGAAATGTAGTCAGCGCCGTGTTGATGTTGTCCACAGCTGGTTAGCATTTCTATTGTCTTTCTTATGAGAGGGATATCCGCTACAATCGTTGCTTCTTTTCGTATTCACACGAAATTCTTACAATTTCATAGTCCACCATGGCGGATGAGCAAGAGATAATGTGCAAGCTAGAAAACATCAAAGAAATAAGGTAAGAAAAGCTGAGATTGATCCTAAAGCAGATTTGCTAGCCTGTGTTCAACATCTGGCCAATTCCGTCAGGATCACGAAAAACAGCGTATTTTCCCTGAATCGTTGCATTTAATAAGCAATCCATGAATCTTCATATAACGTTAGTATATCTAAAACTATTTAATAAAATTCCCTTTTGACATCTTCTTTGTGTCGGTCATGATGCTAAAGCAAAGCAAACCGCGTAAACCATAAAAACACGCAGCTTTGCACTAAATCTGAAAACATCTCGCACTAATTCTGCATTAACTAAGTCTCTGTTTTGGCGTGGATGAGAGTTTGAAAAGCATCCTGTTGTGGTTAGACACGAAACCTCAGAGCAAACGGTTTATTTCCTGCAAAACGACTCTTAATCATTCATAAAAGTCAAACACACTTGATTGTCTGTTCACACACGAAGTCTAACACATTTTGTGATCGGGTCACTGAAACCACATAGGCTAGTAGATGTCTTATTCGTTTAAAACCACATGCACCAGATCAGACATCTTTGCATTGCATTGTCATATTTTGTCAAGCACTGGCTACATGTTTAGTGTGTTTGTGTGGTTTTGCAGGAACAAGACCATTCAGATGGAGAAGATCAAGTCTAGACTGAGGAGTGAGTTTGATGCTCTTGAGTCAGAGGAGAAGCACCTGAGAGAGTACAAACAGGAAATGGATCTTCTGCTACAGGAGAAAATGGCTCATGTAGAGGAACTGCGTCTCATACATGCTGATATCAATGTGGTAAACAATGAAAAATTATTGTTTTTTTTATTGCACTATTTATCATGTTTGTAGTGCACTCAATAAAGTAAATATATATCAAGTGCCTCTACACTTACTATGACATAGGGATAGTTCACCCGAAATTTACCATTATCATTTACTCACCCTCAAATCATTGCAAATCTTTATGAATTTCTCTCTTATCCTGAACACACAAGAAGACATTTGAAGAATATGGGTAACTAAATAGTTGATGGGCCCTAATGAGTTCTATAGTTTGGGGAAAATACTGACATACATTTTGAGGGTAAGTAAATGATGAAAGAATTTTCATTTTTGGGTGAACTATCTCTTTAATGTGCTTATACAAAGGCATGCAAAAGAATAATATATTACAATTTACACTACTGTTCAAAGGTTTGGGTCTGTACATTTTAAATTCTTAAAAGAACTTAAACATGGATGCATTCAATTAATCAATAGTGACAGAAACATTTATAATATTACATAAGATTTCTATTTCAAATAAATGCAAGCATGTTTGAACTTTCTTATATTCAAAGAATCCTGAAATGCACATATTAAGTAAGCGGCACAAATGTTTTCAACTTCGATAACATTACTCAAGTACCAAATCAGAGTATTAGAATGATTTTCATGTGTTATAATGAAGCCTGGAGTAATGGCTGTTGAAAATTCCGCTTTGCCTTCACAGGAACTAATCACATTTGAAAATATATTAAAATAGAAAAGTTATTTTTACTGTTTACTGTATTTTACTCTACAAGCTAAATATTTCTGCAGTATCCAGGATCTGACCCAGTAGCCTCGGTGTGACCAGATCAGATTCCTAACCATTAGTTTCCCACTATTCTGATTGATGGAGTGGCTATATTTCTTTTCCCAGATGGAAAACACTATCAAACAGTCTGAAAGTGACTTGAACAAACTGCTGGAGTCAACCAGACGTCTCCATGATGAATACAAGCCCCTGAAAGAACATGTGGACGCCCTGAGGATGACCCTCGGCCTACAGAGACTCCCTGACCTGAGTCAAGAAGAGGAAAAGCTCTCACTGGAGTTAGTAACACTGTTCCTTTGTGTGTGTGTGTATGTGACTGAGGGAACTCCTAAAAATGAGTCATTGCTGTGTAGGAGTGTGTATTTGCAAACAGAGTAATTCTTAGACAGAGAGTGTGTGGTGTGTTAAAGGAACACGCCGACTTTTTTGGACTTTAGCTTATTCCATACATAGTCCATACATACCTTTTTCATCTCCGTGCGTGCTGTTACTCTATCTGACGCACCCGCCGCTAGCCTAGCTTAGCACAAAGACTGGATATAAATGGCTCCAGCTAGCATACTAATCCCAATAAGTGACAAAATAACGCAAAAAAATTCCTATAAACAGTGTAATAACAGACCAGGTAATAAAATGATGTTTCATAGAATTCCAACTAAAAACACATCCTGATTAATAATTATCTCAGAACACGAATAAAGACTTATTAATTTAGGAGATGAAAAAAGTCGGCATGTTCCTTTAAGGAAGACTGAAATTCTTACTGTTTGTTTACGTCCTCTTCCTCTCCTTTCAGTTACTTTGAAAAGCAAAAGGCTGAGTGGCAGACTGAACCTCAGGAACCTCCTATCCCAGAATCCCTAGCAGCGGCGGCGGCTGCAGCCCAGCAGCTTCAAGCCGCGCGGAAACAAGACGCCAGGCAGACAGCGACGTTCCGCCAGCAGCCGCCACCTATGAAGGTACTTTTTGACATTAGTGCATCACTACCTGTGTACACACACTCAAATATCAGCAATCACATGTGGAAAAATATGTTTAGCTGATTTGACAGTGTCTACACATTACTTGCAAAAGAGATGATATATTAGCTTTAGTTGTGTGCTTGCATTCTAAATTGAATGTTTTGAGGTAGATGGTCCAAGTATGAGCCGGTTCTTTTTAGTTTGTCTGTCAAATAGATTCCTAAAATGCTAAGGTCCAGTTGTTCAAAAGATTGGATTTCAGCTTTTGGGTTGGATCAAATCTTGAAAATGGGTTGTAGATTGGATAAGATCACAAAATCTAATCTTGGTTTTGATCTGGATCAAATTGTTAGTTTGTGTTTTTCAAAACTTTTTGGTAAGATCAGGAAACCTTTAATCCAAAAAATCAGGATTACCCTGATCCCAGCAGAAGAGTGGATTTCAGGAAAAAAAATCTAATAAAATTTTGAAACTGGTCAAAAAATTAACTTTTATATAATGTAATTGAATGAAACCCTAAAGGGGCATGGAGATGGGAGGAGAAATTAATGCTTTAGCATTCTCTCGCAAATGTTTTGTGTTCCCTCATGAAACTTTGCATTCACGTTCAAAGCTTGAGTTCTTGAATCCCAAGATTTGCAAGAGAATACTAAAGCATTAAAATATGTAATTTTCCTTTAGTGCCTAAGGGTTTTATTGTTTAGAGGAAATTGAAAACGGAAGGGGATGTTTGTTTATGTTGTTTTCTGTGTTGTGGTCTTCATGGGTCACATGATCCTTCAAAAATTGTGCTCAAGAAACATTTATTATTATTATCAATATTAAAAGCAGTTGTGCTGCTTAATATTTTTGTGGAAGCCGTGATGTATTTTATGTCAGGATTATTTGATGAAAAGAAAGTTTATTTGAAATAGAAATCCTTAAGAAATGTTTTTACTGTCACTTTTGATTAAGTGAATGTATCCTTGCTGGTTAAAAAATGTAATCTTACTGACCCCAAACTTTTGAAATGTTAGTGTTTCTTCTTCTTATTGTGGAAACCCATTATAAACTGCTAAATCGAACACATACAGTATGTATGGAGTCCAAGAGATGATATTGATTTCATTTTTGTCTGTTTCCAGGCTTGTCTATCCTGCCACCAACAAATCCATCGGAATGCACCAATCTGTCCTCTCTGCAAAGCCAAAAGTCGCTCACGCAACCCTAAAAAACCTAAGAGAAAACCAGATGAGTGACACACATGGCTCCAAACAACCCCTAAGAAAACCTGATTTACACATAAACGCACTCACTTACGCTCTCATGCATGCACGACATAGACACTGACAGTTACTACACACACATACACCATTGTCCTGAAGGAACAGACCATCTGCAGTCTGATAACTTGACCCCTCATAGTGATCCTGTATTTCATCTGTCTTTCTGCTTCAGTGTATGTGAGATCTCAGTTTTTCCATTTCATTTTATATTAGTGAAACCTTGATATTGTATTTGTACTGTGTCTGTATTTAGTTTGTAGTGGAAATGGATGCTGGTTTAGAAATGTACTATTCCGTGTGGGGTTTAAGTCTAATCCATTAGTTCAAACTAATGGTGGCTTTAGTCAATAGAGCCATTTGTACAGTATTCATTTAATGCTTAAACTGATCTTTAATCATTTTAATTCATTATTAATGGTATGATTTCACATGTTTTTCAATGTTTTTTCTTGGTAAGTGCAAATTGTTTTTCTTGTATTATGTAACCATGGACTGTCTCAGACCATGTCAGTGTTCTAGAATGTCTTATGGACCGTTCACACATGACGTAGATGGAGAGCATTGGAATGGAACAGAGCGAGTTTTTAACTTTAAAGGTGCAGTGATCGATTTTTGAGAAACGCTGTTAAAAAATTTAAATCACCAATACTAACATGCCCCTACCAAAAGGATCACACCCCTATCTTGATAGCTCCGCCCCCCTCCGGTCCGATCCACTTTCAACAGCGTATCTCAGAAAAATCGCTTACTGCACCTTTAAGTGTCTTTAAAAAGTGGTGCTAATGGCATTAAATGCTAAAATAACTAGACGATGGTACAACAGGCATTAAAACAAAGATTAGGGTTAAAAAGTTACTGACAAAAAAATAATATTAACGCAGAATGAACCCAAGAACATGTCCTGTGTGAACGGCCCCTTAGAAGTAGAATAATAATGGAACACAAATTGAATGGGAGTTCTAAAGCCCAAGTTCTTGTAAAACCAACATTCAATTTGAGCAAATGAGCTGTGTTACTTTGTGTTTTGGAATTTGTCCAAAAGGGGCATTAAGAATTTGTTAGATCGTTTAGTATTGAATCATTGCGTTTTTTTAATAATTAAAACGTGTGAAACTAATAAACTGTGGACGTCTTGTCATGATGTTAAAATTAATATAATACAATTCATTTCAGTTGATTATGTCATCTGATTGATTCATTATTATCATTATTTTTCTCCCTTTGTGTCACTCTGTGGTTGGCTTGATGTGTTTCTGGAATTTGACCTTTCACCCATGACCCCTAACAATGCCAGAATCATTCTTTTTTTTGCTAATGTCTTTACCAGTAGAGTTCTGCATTCTTTTTGCACTCCACTCTTGATCCTGAGTGGGGCGATATTTACATTTAAGGAAGGATTTGTGGCGTGCTGCTGATTTCCACAGAAATTTCAACAATATTTAAGTTTAAACGCGCGCACACACACAAACATAAATGATTTCGTATCATTGTACTAACGAGGACTACAGTGGTTCTCAACCAAGTGGCATCAGCCAACTTAAACCTAAGTTTAAAAAAAAAGTTTAAATCAAGTTAAAACAGAAATTAAAGTCATAAATGGGAATCCAAATTTCCTTTTCTCCTCAATTATCATATAAAAAAAATTGTATCCTATGGATTCACAAAATGAATTGTGTTTAATTACTTTTACATATTTTATAGTTTCTGTAAATAAAAAAAAGTTGAAAACAAGCAGAGTTGTCATAAATACAACAGTTATGCCAGAGGAAATATCTTAAAATATTATCTTGGACAATGGGTTCTCAAAAACGAAAATTATTGGAAAAATTGGAAATTATGATACAAAGTAAATCAAAACCTTTTGATTTGCAAAAAAGTGTCATTTGTATTTAACCATTAATATTTTGGTGTGAATAAGTCCAGACTCTTACCTATATTATGTGGAATAAGTCCAGACAGCTATATTACATATACTTTATTATTAATATTTTTGTTTACATTAATACGTTTTTGACCAAGCAAGATCGAACTAAAACAGTAAATATCAGCAGCTTTGTGTGTTTAACTGTTCTCCTTAGCATCAAAGTAAAAAAAACTGTGTTTTGAGTGAGCAAAAGCAGATTGGTTGTAACTTGTATTTACATTTGTGTGTACCTGAGCAGATTTATTTGGCTGCATGGCTGTATTTATTCATGTGTCTTTATCTTCTGGTGTTTCACAGGACATGTTTTACATCATAACAGGATTTGGCCTGAAACTCAGTAGGTTCATCTGCAGCTCGTTAATGAACTCATACGCATCTGCTTAAACTCCAGCTGGGCCATCCAGAGCCTAATCTCACTCACACACCCCTCTTTACCTGCGCTAATCCCACTCTCAGGGGCGTGAGGAGATCTGCATCTTTTGTCCTCTCCCCTCCTGCCGTTTCCACACACAAACGCATAAAAACCATTCGCATTCGCACAAAACCTGCTCAGCCACACACACAAGCAGCTGTAACGGCTGGAGAGCTTTACATTCACTAAGTACTGTAAAGAAAAACCCAAAGATCTTTGCAGAACAAAGAGCCACTTACTTTTCAGATAGCTAGAAGATTTTTAGAACTTGAGTTTAAGGAAAAGATTGTACTTCACTTCAGTAAATTAAACCAATTCTGATGGAGTCTTCCATGAGTTTTATGAGAATTAAATCATTTCACATTACTTAATATCCTACATTCTTGAAAATAAAGGTTGTAAAACAGGGTTTTGCAGTGATGCCATAGAAGAAGCATTTTTCAGTGAAAGAACCTTATCATGAAGAACGTTTTCCTTTTCCCACTATTTCTAACCTTTTGTGGAATATAAGTTTCCATAAAAGTTCAATATTCTTCATTGAACCATATATGCTAATAAAGAACTTTTATTTTTAGGTGTAGTTTCACGCACATCTTGAAATGAAGAGTTCAGATGCAAAAGCCTCTAAATGCCATTTGAAATGTTCTTCTTTAATGATGATTTTTATCAAACTTGTATATTTAAGTTCAGTAATTTCACTTAAATAACAATTTATAGGTAATTATCATTGCCATTTAAGTGAAATTACTGAACTTAAATATACAAGTTTGATAAAAATCATCATTAAAGAAGAACATTTCAAATGGCATTTAGAGGCTTTTGCATCTGAACTCTTCAAATATTCATCTCAGTAAAAATGAGGAGTCAAACAAATTGCCTATGAAAATAAATGTATTCTCTAATCTGTTATAAATAACAACACAATCAGTGATTGCTGAGCAAACAATCAAGTGTTCATGCAAATATACACTCCTATGAGAAGCATTAATACATCATACCAACCATGACCAACATGATGTCAGTCATGATTGTGTATGTGGGTACAGAAAATGTCTGTGGAAGCCATCCAATACAGCGAAAACAACATATTCCCGAGACATTCTTAGTCTTTTTTGTAGCGTAGCCCCACTGAGATTTACAGTCCAATTGTAGCTTTATAAACATCATCAGATAGTGACAGTTGGATAGATGGGCTCTGTGTGCATGGGGGCCTGAGGAAAAGGCTGCCCGTGCACCTGCCCAAATGCTGAACGGCCATCTAGGAAAGCTGGGGCCATCAGCATGGTGCGCTCTGGGGGAAGAGCATAATTCATGTAGGGTTGATAGAACTGTGGCGCCCCCTGGGGGACTGGAGGAACATACTGCTGCGACTGCGAATTTGGAAATGTGTTTCCCATCGGCCCGTAGAGGTTAACGCTGAGTTCAGATGGTGGTGGAGGGCGAGTGTTTGTCATGGAGGAGCCTGAGGTGGACGTGCGGGATGGGGTGGAGCTGTCCACTGAGGGTCCAGACTCCAGCAGGCTGGTCTGAGCAGCGGATGGCCCTGTTGGTCGATCGCTCGCTTTGGGTTTCACACACTTGCAGCAACAGATTGACACAACCGCACCGACCAGAACGAACGACAGGAACGCACTCACCACAATCACAAAGGGGAGATATGTTGGAACTAGAGAGGAAGCGAGAAAAGGGAATTAAACATGAGGATCATAAAAAGAAGCATGTCAGGGATAATACAATTAAATAAATAATACAATTTAAATAAAATTCTACAACATTTCTGAAGAAGGTCTTGGTATTTTAATACGCTTAGAAAAAGATAACAAGTTAAAAATGTCCCCAGATAACAACTCCAGGGGGTAAATATTCCCCTAAATAAAAAGATAATTTATGAATATCTATTCATATACAACAGCATTCAAGGGATTGTATAATTTTAGATTATTTTGCTGCAGAGCAAAAGGGAATAGCCAATAATAAATGTATTCCGTAAAATGATTCAAAGCAAACGTTTACTTCCTTAAATAACTTGAATGAATGCTTGTATGAATAGAAATTCATAATTTAGATTTTTATTAAGGACAATATTTTACCCCCTGGAGTTGATGTCTGGCTGGGGGTATTTTTTGTGTGTCCCCTGGAGTTGACATCTGGGGAATAATTTGCTTTAAATGAATAATACTTAAATGTAAAAAAAACGTAGCCTACTTTCACTAAAGGATTTACCTAAACTAGGCCTACTACAGGGGTTACGGTTAGGTTAGTTATTGCCCAGTTATTGTAGCCTAATTCCTGTAATACAGTAAGCTACATGGGTAGGACTTTGTTTTAAAGTGTTAACAACATGTTGAATTAAACAAGTATATATAAATACTCACCGCTTTCTGCCATCTTTCTCATGTCACCCGTGTTCTCCGATTCGGAGCCAGTATCGCAGGTGCTCTGGTCGAGGCGCGCCTCCGCGTATGTGCAGCAGTACCTGAGCACGCATGTCCCGCAGCAGTAGCGCGCGTCCTCGCCGTCGAAGCGCTCCGGACACTGGAATCCCCGGTGCCAAGAGTTGAAGGAATCCGTCCAGCCGTGACAGTATTCCCCCGATAACCCGTAAGACAACGGAAGAGCGATTGATATGAACAGAAAGAGCGCGCAGGGTACGAATGAAGTCATGATAGCGTTTGTTTAGTTCCAGAAGTCGGTTTAAATGTGAAGTTGCTACGAAGATCCCGCAAGCCAGTATAATCGAGAGACTGTCTGCAGGCGTCATTTATGTGTTTGCTGGACCCCCATCCCCCTGCAAACACACACACACACACACACACATTAGCAGCCCCTCCTGCTCCCATCAGCTCCTCGTTATCGGTCATCTGCATTTAAATTTAGGCAGGGTTTAGTGATTGGCAGGGTTTATTTGCATGTTTGCGCTGCTAATTACTCTGAGATATGACAAGTGATGATGAACTCACTCTAAATTACACCATCATCTCCCTGGGTCACAAATCAAAACTTTAATCGGATCAAAATCCGTTTTAAAGTGAGAGTAGGCTAACTGAGGACTGGGCTTTACGACATAACACCCACAAAATGTAATCAGTCTAAAATTTACACTTTAAAATAGAGATTTTTCACACAAACCTAAATATGAACAGTAGGCTTATGTTAGATAGCTATATAACTTAAATAACATGCATGTCTGGAGACGATGGAGCCTTGTATGTTGGGGGTAAAGGTTACAGACTGTGCTTGTCTGTCTCTGTTTACTTTATCTGAGACAGGGAGGTCAATTCACTATCAATGCACATCTAAACACACACACACACACACACACACGCATGAAACTATGAAACTCTTTAGTGCTCAAGTCTCAAGAAACAAGTAGGCCTACCGGTGTTTATTGTACAAAATATATCAAACTACCTGAATAAAAAGTGGTGTTTTATTATTTTATTACTGAGCTGCAACATTCTATTATTAACATGAGGCAGATTATAGGAAAATGTGAGTTTTTTAATAAAAAAAAATTTTTTAAAGAGCCATTTTTTGTGGCTTTGGCCAATATTTCACTACATAAAACAAAATCATTAGACAGCAATCTGCAAGTCAGCAAAATGCAATCTGGGTCATATTTAACAATTGTGCTTACTACATTTTTTTTTTATTGCTGTCCACACCATTGTGGGTCACCCCTCTTAAAAAACCCTAAACCTCTAAAAAGACAGTTCTTTCACTCTATAAATTATTGCTTTGACTGTTTTATTCTACCAACATATATTCTCAGAATATCTGTGCACATCTATGTCTTCATTGTTCATTTCCTATGTTAAAACCGATTTTACCTTAAGTCATT